TACACGAGATCTTCCGTGTCCCCCATGCGGTCGCCCAGCGTGACCCGGGCGTCGCGCAGCAGCACGGTCATCACCATGGCGAAGAGAAAGAGTGAGAGAGGATAACCTTGACAGATTCCCGCGTGCTGCTCGCGGGTCCCTGACGTCACGCCGGCCTCGCGAACCTCGAAGTTCCTGCCCGTGTAGATGGCTTGAATCATTGTCAACATTTTCCCTGGGACTCCGAAGCGCTGCAGCGCTTCCAGCAGAGGCCCCGGCATGACGCTGCCGAACGCCTTGGCCCAGTCCAGAGCGAGCAGCACGAGCTGGCCCTCTGCGCTCGACCACGTTTCCTCCAGCCTCCGCCTGGCGAGGAAGATGGCGTCGATGGTGCCGTGGCGCGATTTGAATCCAAACTGGGTGCCCCAGATGCGGCCCTCGGCCCCGGCGTCCTTCAAGCGGCGGAGGAGAAGAGTCGCAAACAACTTGTACCCGGCCTGAAGCAGGCACACTGGTCTGTAGTTGCCGCAGAGCGTGGCGTCACCCTTTTTGAACAATGCAATCACTAAGGAATTGTGCCAAGATTCTGGCACGACGCCCTGGTCCCAACACCGCCGGCACAACGCTAGCGCCCAAGCTCTCGCCGGGGAGTCGCGAGCGCAGACCGCTTTCCAGAAGTCGCCGGGGATGCCGTCACTGCCGCACGCCTTGCCCCACTTCATGCGCTTGGTGTCGCGCGCGGCCCACTGCACCTCCGTCAGGAAGTCTGCCAGCGTGTCCGCACGGACCTCGGAGTCAACCAGGTCGCCGCGAACGTTGCGAAGTTTGCCTTGCTTCCGCCCGGCCCCTTTACGCAATCGTCGCACCTGGTCCCAGTCGCCCGTGGCCAGGAGGTGTTCAACCACTCCGCCCTATCCGTTTTCACAGAGCTCTTGACGACGTAATTCAAACGTCTCTCTTCTGCCAGGTCGCCGCGTGTTCTGGCCTCGGTGCGCTTCACGATGAGCGTCATGGTGCGGTCTGAAATCCACGGCTTCCGCGGCGCCGGCGGCGCTATAGGTAGCGTGGCGGCTGCCTGTTTGAAGGAAACCACGGCTGCAGCATCGATTTCGTTGGCCCCGCCGTCGCCCGTGTGGGCGGCTTCCATCTCGTCGGCAAAGGCCATGGCGAAACGGTTGGCATGCTCTGGCAGCCGGAGAGCCCGCAAGTCAGGCCGAGTCGGTTGCTCGCGGCGGGCCTCGATCGGCACCATTATGTCCACGTCCGCCTGCACGAGGAAGTGGTGAGACGCCAGTGCCAAGTCCTTGTTGCTTGCCACTGATTGCAAATGCTCAACCCAATTCTGTGAAACCAAAACAAAATCGATCTGGCCAAAATTGTCCGGCGTGTCAGGGTGAGACGGCTTCTTGCCCACGTTGTAGCAGGTGACCTGACGATGTGCTGGCTCATGAAACATTGTGTTGCCGATGCAGAGTTTGTGATGCTCGCACAGCTCAACCAGCAGGCTGCGGTTGGAAGCGGCGTTGTGCTCAGCCTCCGGGTGCCCAAACACATGCGGTCCCATGATCTGCTCTTCTTGCGGGTGGCGCCTGTGCAGGCGCGCGTTAAAGTCTCCGAGCAAAATCATCGGGCCGTGCCGCGACGTCTGAGCGAGGAAAGCTCCAAGAGATGTGAAGAAGCGCTGCCTGTCCTCGAAGTTCTTCCCGTTATGCGGCGCGTACGCGCTGCCAACGATAGTTTTCCCGCCTTGCACCCGCAGTTTCACGTATGCCATTCTTGCTGACTCCTGCCTGAAGCCGACCACACTCGAGCGCAGCCGCGGAGAGATGATGAAGCCAACGCCTGCCGTCTCCTTATCCTCCTCGTCCGCGGACCCAGAGAAAATGAACAAGTAGCCGCCGTCCGATACGTAGTAGTCTGATATGTCCCTGTGAGTCTCTTGCATGCACAAAATGTAAATGCTCTGTTGGCGCATGTGCCATTCCAGCTCGATCTCTTTCGCGTCCGTGAAACCCTCAACGTTCCAGGTGGCAATCCGGAGCTGCCGCGAGCAAGGTCTGAGGCCGCCACCTCGGAAGACACGTGCCTGTCCGGCCCGGTTGAGTAGAGGCTGCTCCACAGTAGTGCCGACTGTGGGTGAAACTACGTCGTTCGTGCATTCATGAATTCTCAAACCATGATGGCTTATAGTTGCAGTATTGCCGAATGCTGCCGGTGAAACTCTGCCCATGTGCTGTGCGTCCTAATGGGGCCCGCTGCCCCTGCCCTTCCCTTTGGTTCCACCCTTCATGCCCTTGCCGGCACGAGCGAGCAGATCCACAGACTTGGTCGCGAGGTCCTTGATGAGGGGGTGGCCGTGCAACTCTTCCCACGCAGCCCACGCGCCGTGCCAGTGGTACTCAACGTCGTGGTCCTTCACGGTCGCTGTCAACGCGTGCTCGCCACCAACGACCACCTCGTAGGGGTCCCCATCCGACACGTTCACAACGTACGGCACTTTGAACTCCTGCTTCAGGATCCGCTTGAAGCCAAGGCAAAAGTTGCGGGCCGCCCGGTTCGCTGGTGAGCGATCTTCGCTAGCCCACACCTTCTTCTCGCCGTTGGTGGGGGCGCTGGCACGGAGGACCTCGACTGCACGGTCACGCTCGTCTGTAGTGCCAAACTCTGCAAACAGCATGCCCTTGAACTCGCCTTTCGAGTAAATCTTGGACGGGGCTGGCGAGCACAAGGCCTTGAGGCGCTCCGTCAGCCACTGGATCGACGTGGCAAGGTCCCCCAGGCCGTCCAAATTTCCAACGACCATGCTTAAGGACCTCTTGGACATCAGCGTGAGCGAAGAGGCTGTGGTTTTTGGGGTGGGGCTCGCCGAGAGGGCTTCCTTGATGTACTCCTGGATCTTCATCTCGAACGCGTCCCCCCCCGGAATCTTCTGCGCCATCGTCTCGTACATGGTCTCTAGCTTCTCGACGCGCATCTCCGTGGAGTTGATGCTCGCCTCCACGTCCCCCAACCGGCCGCCGAGGGTCTCCGCAAGGTTCCCGACCTTGCCGTCTAAGGTCCCGAGCTTCTTTTTGAGGTCCTCCACAACGTTGGTGACCGGGGCGAGCTGCTGCTGGAGGAGTGCCGCAATGCCAGCCATTGTCACTGGCTCGGCCTCGGCCGCCATAGCTTCTCCGAAATCTGGTTGGCGAACAGCGTCCCCGGGGTCCCCCGCCATCGGCACGTACCCCTCGAGGTGGGCCTGCGCGTCATCCAGGGGAGGGGTGTACGGGGAGTCGGGGCCGTGGCCGGAGCGCTGCTTCTTGGCCGCCATGTTCGCCCACGGGTCATTCTCCTGGAGGCCGTCCTTGAACAGATGGCCTACCGGGGAACCTGGCACGCGGGACCGAGGCTTCGGGGTAGCAGTACTATGAGCATCCGCCATGTTAGGAGGGGAATGTAAGGGGAATGGAAGTAAGGTGAAAGTAGAGAAAGTCGGTACCAATCGTTGCAAAATTCCTTTGGCCTTGAGCCAAAGGAATTCTGCAACGATTGGAATTTTGGGAGTCGGGGAGCGGGTCAGGAGGGAGAAAAACACAGACACAATTAACCGTCCATTCCCCAGAAAATATGGGAAAATATGGGAAGTGGGGGGGAAGACACAAACCCAGAAAATATGGGAAAATATGGGGAATCTTTTTATTTGTGTGTATCTATTTGTGTGTCCTGGGGCCCCTTCAGCGGGGCCTCGCGTGGCCGCGACCAGCAGCTTCCCCCTCGGCACCGCGGGCGGCCTCGCGCAGGGCCTTCGTCGGGGGGCGCCCCCGTGCGCCCTGCTCTCTCCCGGCCTGCCCGTGCCCCAGCCGAGAGGTTAAGGAAGGGCCGGTGTGAAGTCGGGCCTGCCCCTCTGCAGCAGGAGGCATGTGCGGAAATAGTCGAAACAAAATAGCCCGGGGACGAGTTTGTTGAATCTTATGGGGCAAGTTTAGGCGGTATTTTTTTGTTCTTTCAAAAGGTTAGGAAGGGCCAGTGTGAAGGCGGGCCTGTCCCTCTGCATCAAGGGCATACAAAAAACGCCCCTACCCGGGTTTACGAGGCGCTGTGCGCTGAAACTCCTGTGGGCCGACAGGGTAAGCCCTGCGTGATGTGCCGCGTCCTGGCGGCTCTAGGCAGTGGGGGTTCCCAGGAGGTTTACAGACCACGCACTTGTAACCCAGGGTAGGGTCGTTTTTTTGCATCCCTCAACTGCAGGAGGCATGTGCGGAAATAGTCAACACAAATTACCCGGGGACGAGTTTGGTGAATTTTATGGGGCAATGTTAGGCGATATTCATGCGTTCTTCCAAAATCCCCCTGCAGGAGGACATGCCCGACCTAAGACCAGCGTTGTAATCTTACCAGCGTAACCAGTACTGGTACCTCATTTCGAGCTCGACCTCCTCTGCACTGCATGGACAACACGGGCATGGTCCTAGTCGTTACTGGAGCAATTGCTCAAGCAGGGACTGGTAATCTCGCCATCGCCATTTTCCGTTCGAGGCATGTCCGTCATCAGTCAGATTCGCCCTCCCTGCCACGCAGAGATTTGTGCTGCCCACTTGCCTTGGTCCACCGTCCTGCACGCGATGACTAGCGAGACTTGACTTGGCTTAAGGGTCACCGTTTTCTAGGTTGAGGGCACAAGTTGGTTGCACACATTTGGTAGGGACTTCCCTTGGCCGTCGTGTGCAGAAAGGGAGTCGCTGACGTGAAGGGGTGCAGCACGCGTTGGTCCGTGTGCCATGCGTCGTGTGTTGGCAGTCCCAGCGCCGTGTGAAGGCAGCGTCATGCCTTTAACTGTTTGGCAATTGCTCGTAGCGTGCATCTGCGCGATTGTTCGAGGAAGCGGCCAGTGCGAAGAATTCAGCCGTAATTGTGATGATAAGTCCAAGTCCTTTTTTTGATCGCGCAGGTTACCTTCACATTTAAGTGGTCTATCTCGGTGAATTGGACATGTGAATGTGTAGGCGGCATGATTCTTTGATGCGGGATTGACTGCACAGGAACGCACGCAGGGCCTCACGAGGGGCGAGGTGGATAGCCGGGGTCAACAACGACCAAAGGGAGCCAAAAGGGAGCCAAAGAGCAAGGAGCGGGGTTTGGGTGCCCACCTGTTCAGTCCTCTTTGCTTTTACAGGTGCTGGTCTTTGCCTCTGTCCCTGCCATTGCCCTTGCTATTCTCAGCGTGGTATCCCACCAGACATGTGTGGTGCAGGCCAGAGCAATACTCGTGAACGTCGATCACAAACATCACAATTGAGCGTCCCCTCCTAGAAGAAGATCGCATAGCGAGGGTTCTGAAGTTGCCCAGTCGTTCTTATCTTCCCGCGCGTAGGTTTTTGTTGATTGGGGCGGGTGGAGTTCGTTGTTGGGCAATCCTGCTACCTGGAATCACGCCTCTGACACATGGGGAGTTATGAGTATCCTGGTCCTTGAAAAGGATACACGTATGGACTTCGAGGCACAGCATGGAGGCATCTAGAGCTCGCTGCGGTGATGGGGGGCCTGTAGCCGTTGCATCCCACTGAGCAGATACGCCGACAATAAGGTTGGCCGCCAGCGTGGGCCCCACACGGTGATTTCTTACATTCTGAATCATTCAACCACTCGTGTGTTCGGTGATCATGCCACGCTATGCGCAACAATCGATATGGTGCAAGCTACGTGGTTCAAGGTATGTGGTGCACCTTAGTGGGCCCTGCAATCGACAGGGCCGTTTTTTTACCGGTTCCGTTCTGCCGTTTTTTTGCCGGTTCCGACGCTGTTTTTTTTACCGGTTCCGTCGCCGTGTTTTGACCGGTTCCGGCTCGGGTTCCAATCCTGGAGCCGTTTTTGTTGCCGTTTCCGGTCGCCGTTTTTTTGCCCCTTCCATTTTCAAGGGACATTTTTTTGGAAACGTTGAAAAAACGGCCCTGCCGTTTCCGGGGCCCACAAAGTGTGGTGCACGCTTTGTTGTGCAAACCACCTGGCAGAACATGAAGTCGTGAACTCCAATGCTCGCGCAAGCATCGCACCCTCCCACCCACAGCTCGTTTGGCAAAAAACATGCGGCCACGATGACTATTACTGATTGGCACCTGCAAGCGCATCTCTACGACCGCGCTGGCTCGCGCACTCGCGGGACGACCGACTCGCTGGTTTGGCACAAGCTTTGCGGCCTCGATTGCATTTACTGGTGGGAACTTGCCAGCGCGCCAAAAGGTCGCGCTGTCGCGCGGGCGCTTCAGTGCGTGTCGGTGACTCGGGCGGGCGCGAAAGCAGGATGACGTCGACAATTGCAGCAACGAAGGTGATATTAGTGATGATGAGGGCGATGATGACGGCGGCAAGGCCCATGCCGGCGCCGATGTTGGTGACGACGATGACATGATGATGTCCATGTGCCGCCGATGGTTGTGACTGAAGTGTGGCAATGGTGGCGATTGGTGATGACGATGACGGCGGTGATGCGATGGCGCTGGTGAGGGTGATGAGGAACGGCGCGCGCAGAAATCCAAGACATCTGGCAGGTTGTTGTTCAATAGCCTTCTATGTTCTTCACTTGTTTGAAGAGTTCGATGTTGACACGCTTCGAACACAATGGGCTTCGAACAGATTTCGGAACGCGCGCTTGGCGGCTCGCGCATGCCGCCCGCACGGCCTGATCTGGTGTGGAATTGGATTGGGCGTGTGCTTGATCAACACGGTCATACCGCGTGGTGTCATGAGACTGGGGGTCTAGACTGAGATTGTTCAATTCACATGGTTGTCACATGATTCAGCAAATGCGCGCAGGCAGACAATACGGAACTTTCTGGTTGAACAACCTTGTGCTTTTGATTTCCGTATGTCGAAACGCGTGCATATCTAATGTTCTGGGTATGATTTCGACATGTTACTCATGTTCGCGCGAGTGTGGGCTCTGCTGCATGTTTTGCACAAGAAATCTTTTTTTCCCGAACTGATGCGTTGATGTAAAAGACTGCGCGTGTGGTATAAGCTTGAATCGAAAAGGATCGATGAGGCAGAACCACATGTACTTTGCAATATATATATATATATATATATATATATATATATATATATAACGGCGCACCGGGTCCGGGGGCCCGGGGCCGGGACCCCGACCACAAATGTGGGCCCCGGGGGGCCCGGAGGCTCGTCGGACCGCCGGACGCCGTCCAAGATCGTTCGCAGGCGGCTTCGGAACGCGCTCCGATGGCTCCAGATGCCTTCCAAGACGCCTGTCATGACACCAAGAAGGTCCCAGAAGCCTCCAAGACGCTCCGAGAGGCAGCCCAAGAGAGGCCCAAGAAGCAAAAATCGTGCCATTCCTATGGGAAAACGTATATTTTTCGCATGTTCGCCTCTTGGGCTTTCACCGCGTCCAAGACGGCCCAAGAGGCGCCCAAGACCGCCCCAAGACGGCCCAAGAAGCTTCCAAGAGGGCCCCAGGACAGCCCAAGAGGGCCCCAAGACGGCCCAAGAGGCGCCCAAGATGGCCCAAGAGGGCCCCAAGACGGGCCCAAGAGGGGGCCCAGAGGGGGACCACGAACCGCAAGCTCGAGCCTTCCGCCCCAAGAGGCCGCCAGGAGGCCCCAAGGAGGCCCCTCAAGAGGCCCCAGGAGACCCCCAAGAGGCCCAAAGGAGGCCCCGAGAAGCCCCAAATCGGCCCCCAAAATGCTTCGAACCTGCTTCCAGGAGGCCCCCGACAGGTTCAGAGGCTCCCGAGAAGCTACGTCAAACTCCCAGCGAGCGGCCGGACGAGGCCCCCCACAAAATCACAAGAGGGTTCCAGTATTTGTATCCTTCAGCGCTCTCTGGCCTTCTTCCCCCTGCCCCCTTCCCTGCGACTTTCGTTGACTCAAGCTCGCCTCCTGGCTAGAACCTAAGCGCGCGCGAAGCGCGCGCGTGGTTCTAGTACCATATATGGGTGATCGTCATGTCTGGGGGGAAACGGTGGTAGAATTTTAAATGAAAGAGAATGACTGTGACCGCATCCGCGCGTGACCACCTCCAATGCTCGCGCAAACAGCGCACCCACTTGGCACAAGGTGGGAGGGCATGAGTGACAAGTTCCTCATCGGAGCATGCCAGGTGGCAGTGACGATGGCTATGACGATGGTGATGGTGTCGCTGGCGATGGTGCAGCGGTTGTGCTGAGGGGTGATTCGGAAGTGCGCAGGCGCTGTTTTCCAGAATGTTTGGCACATTGCGAAGGCCTTACTGCCGGTGCCGCCGACCCTGAAGGGGGACGACGACGACAACGACGACGACGACTTTCCAGAGTGTTTGTCATGTTTTCACTGGACCTCCAACGTGTTCTCGTATGTTGTTGGACAGTTGTGTGCTGACCTGCTCGGGACGCCAGTGGTGCGGACGGGATTCGGCGGGCGCACGCGCGCGCCGCGCGGGGAGGCGCGCGCGCGCGGGGCGCCCGAAATGTGGTCTTTTTCGACCTATGTTTGGCTGGTGCGCGCTGGCTGCTGGATGTTTTTTATTGCCGCGCGCGCGTGTGGCCTGCACCGTCGCACGTGGTTGCATGGCCGTTCACCCGTGGTTGTTCGGGGGCGGCACAGATGGGGGTGATGACTAGGGGGGGGGGTGGACATCATGGCGGGGGCCATGCTATCTCCCCAGATCTTATGGCGCCTTTTCTTTCTTCATTACGTCCCCGCCCCCCCTGAGCCGCGCACATGCAGCTGGCCATGAATTGCGCCTCCCTCTTGGACGCCCCCCTCTTGGCCGCCCCCGAGGTTGTTTACATGATTCCAGCGGGTGCGCGCTCGGAGATCTGCGCCAAGGGTCTAAAAAAGCGCAGGTTTTTTGTTCACAGCGCAGGTGGCATGTTGTGGCACATGATGCGCAACGCATCGTTCCCCAAGCAGGGTTTTCGCCTAGGGTTCATATTTCTTTCCCCAGAAACAAGGCTGGTGTGCCGCTCTGGCGGCTATGTAGTCGCCGTCGCCGCCCGCTATGTATTCGCCGTCGCTGCCCCGTCGCCACCTCGTCGCCGCCCGTCGTCTGGGCCTTGTTGTGCATTGCGGTGCACTAGGTGCGTGACTTTACATTGCTGCGCATTGCAAATTGTTTTGAATTGTCTTGCGTTGCATTGCTTTGCATTGCATTTCATTGCATTGCTAGGCCTTGTTAAGCATTGCGTTGTGTTCCTTTCATTGCTTCGCGTTGCTACGCCGTGCTTTGCATTGCTCTGGATTGGTGCTATTGCTAGAAGCGCTTGACTTTGCTCTCCAGGGCAAGAAACACAATGTGCTCTCTGATTCCTAGAAACGCAACCTGCTTTGCTTTGGCGCATTGCTTTGAATTACTTTGCATTGCATTGCATTGCTGTGCTTTGCATTGCTAAGCCGTGCCATTGCATTGTATTGCTTTCATTTTTTCGCATTGCTACGCTGTCTGTGCATTGCTCTGCATTGCTACGCCGTTCAATACACCGCAGAGGTTGCACCAAAAAGATCGCACCGCAATAATTGCACAATGCACGTGTATATTCAGAGATACACAACATGTACTGCACTTCGTGGGTTGCACTACATGTGTTGCTCCACATTAATTTCATCGCGTAGATTGCCACACTCATATTGCACCACACAGATAGCACACATGAGAGTGTGTATACATATATATATATATATATATACTGCAAAGTGCGGACTGCACAGCAGCAGCGGCTCCTCGTGGGCTCTCTTTTTAAAAAGAAGAATAAACTCTACCCACCCTGGAGGTAACGATCCCCCCTGGGGTATGTATTAATTTCTTCAACTCTTCCACACACTCGCCCATCCTACCTGTGATTCAATATTTTCCCAGCCAAGCCGGTACCGACCCACCCCCCGCCATCCTCTGCAAAACGTACGATGCGCGCACACTTCTTCATCTTAAGAAAGCAAAGCCTATATTTGTTCACAAAAAAAAGGAAAACACAACCTTATCACGTGCGCGTCCATGTCAAAACCGTACCGCACACAATGTGTGTGCAAGCATTTCAGCACAAAAGCTTGAAAACCCCAAGGGTTGTGCAACAACAGTTTTGCACATGTCCTATCCGCGCGCTCATAGTACAATCATTCAAAAACCCTGGGTTTCTTATGA